TATACAGTATCGTTGATATATCGCTGATATATTCTAAGAAAAATCCGCTTCAAGCGATTCTATTTGAACCTACAATTTCTACTTCACACTGTTCGGAACAACGAAGAATGCACAGTAGAAAAAGAAAATTTCTTATCAGATTTCCTAAAACCATGACTAACAATACATACTATTTATTGTATTATATTTTATTCCGTGTAAGACGGTTTTAATCACTCGTTTTTCATCGAACAGTCGTTTCTTCGTTTCGCGTACAGAGGAAGACCGCTCTATGATTTTAGTCGAGGGGGTGGAAAGAAGGAAGACGGTATAGCGGCGGAGGGGGGTGAAGGTATGGAGAGAGGTTGAGCGAGGAAGACCGTGCAAAGGGCATCATTCTAATTGCCCCGGACTTCCTTTCATCCCCTTTGTGCGACCCTCGGGTGCGCTTCCTCATCCACCCTCTCCCTCGACCTCCCTTCACCGTCCACGCTCCCCCTCCTCCCGTACCGACGGCTCTAAGTCATTTCTGCGATTAATTTTTCCTTCCAATTTGCACGCGGCAGTAATTAAGGGGCTGGGGGCGCAGTACATCATCCGGCGTTTCGCCGATGCTACGGTTAAGGGGGTTGGTTTCACTGTTCGCGGAGCAGACCGGCCTTCTTCGAAACAATGGCGGCTGTCTTGAGTGGTGAGATAGGATTTCGAGACTCGAAAATCCTCGTGTTATCCCGTTAGATAAATATGGCCTGCCCTGAAATTGTACCTCCGAATTTTCAACCCTCTTAACGATCACGAAATTGTTATAAATTGAAACTAATTACTACGTCAAGCGCTTTAGTATTTTCGTCAGAAATTTTGAAACATTCTACGTATATCGCGATCTCAGCATCTCCAACACGGTCCACGTCTTCTTCGTCCAAGGAGACAGAGTGATTCCGAGGAAAAATATCGTCGATTGGAAGTTGAGTCCTGAAACTCGGAGGATCTGCTACGTCGGCGGCGGCCCTTCGAGGTGTTTAATAACGATAATGCCCGAGATAGGGTGGTTTCGAGGGTGGCTAGGGGGTAGTACACCGGGTCGGGACTTGGTTCATTCACGAGCTCGCTCGTTCGTGCAGAGTTCTTCCCCGTGAATGCGCTGAATGCCTTGCTGCCGCTTTCTCTTTCTCCATCCCTCCCGCCGGGACCGCCTCGTTTTCCTCTTTTTTTCAACGACTTTTTGCCATGCCGTGCATCCATTTCTCTGTAGCTTCGGCCGTGTTTGCGTTTATGGGCTTATCGCTATCTTTAAGAACCACCGGCGACCGGAAGTATTGTCTGCCATTCTGGTAGGTTCCGTCGTCGAGGCCAGTCTTCCATGTGTCTTCGATAAAATAAGAGTAACCACGCACGATAAACGCAAACCACAAACCATGTACGTGTAACGTGTACCTTTACGGAGAAGAAAGTCGAACGCGAGCCGAAAAAAAGGGGTAAATCACGCGGACGAGGATGCAAAAAGCCACCCTTGACCTGCTCGTCAGTGAAAGACACGTCGGTGTGAAATAGAGCAGCCGAAAACCGTGCAAGCCTCGGCTAAATGAAAGCGTCGGGATCCATCACAATTAAGTGACGATCCCATCAAAATCGAGAAGCGAGTACCCGCGAAACCGCGGTCTTGTAACGTGCGAGTGATAATGCAGATTTCTGGTATAATCTGGCTACATGTGCGCGTGGGTGCCTGTGAGCCTTGTTGTTACGACTTTCACAGTAACTAGAGGGGGGATCCCGCGTTTTACGATACATGACTGGTACACCGGATTTCAGCGTGCGAGCGAGCAAACGCAGGCAGAAAGGGAGAACACAGAGTTTCTCTGGCTGTTGGAAATCGACGAAGCGGTGTGTCGGCTAGCGGGGAGCTGGATTTTCCCCGTGTGTCTGTCGGTACGTCCATCCGTTCGTTCGTTCGTTCGTTCGTCTGGCTGACTGGTTGGGTGGTTGGCTGGTTGGCTGGCTGAGTTTGCTGCCGTTGCATCGAAACATGTAAGTCCAGGAGGGCAATAATAGATCCCACAATGCCACGCGAGCTTTTCAGGACCTCTCGTAGGTGGTGTGGGATGTAGGTGGAACGTCGGACGGGTTAGGAGGGGGTGGTTGCCGCTAGCGTGGCCTACGAGAGGGGATGGAAACGAGGTAGCTCATCAACTAATGGCCCGGACCGGAACTGAACTACCTTCTCGTACGGACTCGTCTACGTTGCCCCCGTGTGGTGCACGTGTGTGCATACGTCTGTGGATCCACGCGTTCCCTCCTTCTCTTTCTCTCTCTCTCTCTCTCTCTCTCTCTCTCTCTCTCTCTCTTTCTCTCTCCATGTCGCTTTTCGTTGATACTCTCTGCCTCGCGGAACCCTTTTTCTCGCTCGTACACACGCTCGTGTCATCCACTCCGTCTCTTGCGTCGCGGCGCTCGTCGCGACAAATAGATACAGTATGTTCGTCTTGCACGACGTCTACCAATCTGGATTGCACACGTGCTACTTCATTTTGGATGTTTAGCGTTATTGCTGGATAAACCGCCTCTAGCGATGTTCCACTTGCGCGGAGAGAGGCAAGTGGTTCAAACATTCGTGAAATCTCGTGTGGGACGGTAAGCATCCTCGTGTAGGTTTTCTTTGGCTCTTCGTGCTAATATAAATAATGGCCATTTCAGAAACTGCGCAGGATTAACTGTACTCTTTATGAAGATCTTTAACTTTCATCTTCTCTCCGCTACCTTATTTTACGAAAATTCTTCGTAGGAAATTAATACGAAGGTCCTTTCGTATTTCTCTCAAACTTAAGACATTTTCTGGCGATAGAAAACTACGATAAAATACGATAAAAAAACGATTCGATCGGTTATAGTCAAAAGCTACATCGAATTGATCCAAGGTCCTGAATCTTCGGCTGTAATGGATGTACCGCTGAAAAATACGTGTTCCTCGCTACGACACGATGGACGAATGATAGAATAAGATTCAATGATCAAGGGTGATCCCATACAATGATCTAGCATAGTGGGTCGTGCCTGGCATAACTAGATCACGTCAAGATAAAGTCTATCGTAAATAGAGTTCGTTGTTTGCCAGGTCACGGGACAGGAGGCCGCATAAGGAGAAGGAGAAAACAAGGAGGGCCTGGATGAGAGGGTGGAAAGGACGAGAAAGGAAAGTCCTGATGGAAGGACGCAGCGCGTGAGAGTAGGACGATGTACGGAGAGAATGGAGCTGATCAATATTCATGGCCCGCTTGTAGGGTGGTTCCGAGCAAGTCAGAGGATGGATTTATGCGAATCCTTCCTTCCGATTCACCCTGCAAGAACGAACCCTTTTTCTTTGGTATCGCGATTCCTTTGAGCCTTTGCGCAACGAGAGGACCAGCTTCCGTTACGGTCATCCGACGTTAACGCTCTTTTGCCTCGTGTTGTTTTTTCATCGACGGATAATTACGTTAATTAGCAGCCTGTAAAGCAGGTGAAACATACCTGAAACGTAAACGCTGCAACGATTCTCGAATTTTTATTTCACATGAAAGATCGAAACGAAAAATCATACGTAACGATAAGAGTTTCTTATTATTTTGTCCAAACTGAAGATATTTTTTAACGTAAGAGGATCGGGCATGGCCGAAAGAACGTAGTAGGGTTAATATCATTCCGAACCGTTAAAGATCACCGCGATCGTCGTAGATGACGCGTAACGACCAGTCCAGGAGTCATCGCCGCGTCCATCGAGATCGTTCGAAGGGTGACTTCAACCCTTTCGCCGTGAAACTTTAAGCGAACGATCAGGGTTAGGGCCGAGGAGTTTTTAACGCTTCGAGAGTTGCCATGGCAACAATGGTAGGCCGTTATTAATCCCCGACGAGAGCGGCGAAGAATAGAGGAACGAAGGGAGAGAAGGAAAGAGGGCAGGAGACAGCAAGGGAGAAGATTCTCCCCAGTTCTCTCTTGTAGCTTCTGATCCTCTCGTTCTCTATCTCCCTTTCCACCACGTGAATTATTCCGTCTCGTTCCAGAGGTGTCGAAGACGAAGGAAGAAGAGAGAGGTGTCGACTGGAATTAGGAGAAGGCTCCGTCATTATAGTCCCATCATTCACTTTTCTTCTGCTTGTCTTCACTTGTCTTCCTTCCTCTTTCTCTGCCGACTTAACCTTGGCACGATGCTTACCTTCTCTTGACCATATCTTGCCTTCGCTATTTTTTTCTCTTCTCCTCTTCATCCTCTTCTTCTTTTCCTTGACTTCTAACCTATCATTGTTGCCGGTGTACAGCCATGGAATCTTTAACCGAGTTTCAACTTAGTCAATAGCGAATATTATAAGTTCTATCTGACAACGTCTGCTGTCACGAAGACCGTGAAGGAAACGCGAATGGTCGAGCCTCTCGTAAATTTCTACCTGTTCTAATCACAAGTAGAAAGCTTCCCGTCTCTTGAGGCTATGGCTACAGTGAATGTGTGTTTTAATGAATGAAACACCTGAACGCCGAAATGCATTCACGCGTAAGAATCTATGTACAGGGTGGCGTAGAAGAAGTTCACCGCTTTGTCTTTAACCTTAGATGAAACAGTATAGGTATATGTGTTTCAATGATAATTTCTTCAATTATTTCAATCGCGTGAGACACGATATCGGTTAAATGGTCATCTCTAGCTGTTTTACGAATATGTGCCTGTTCAATAATATTTTTCATAACATTTATATACAATAGTTGGCTTGTGTCATTTTCTCAATGTTCAGACTAATATTATCAACACCTCAATCGTGGTGCCAGTGGGAGCAACGAAGCCTCCAACGCGATCTTCTCTTCCTCGATTTTTGTCTTATTTCGATTCATAGAATCTCCCTGAATCTTTCGCTTGTACAATTTAGAACCACAGCGTATATTTGATCGTTCTCACGTACTCGTGTTCGTCACACCACGCATTCACTGTAACCATAGCCTAACGCGTGTCTAACGATAGAACAGAGAAGAAGCTGTCTCATTGAATCATCCCGCAGCTCGTAACCGTGAAAAGTCAATTCGAAGAAGAGGCTGGCTGGCATCGATCGGAAACGAGGCGCGGGAACACGTGTTCGCGGACACCCACGTGAAAAATTGCGATAACGTCCAACGGCAGGGAAAAGGAAGGGTGAGAAAGCGGCAGGATATCTCTTCAAATATTCACGACGGCGCGTACACGTCATCGTCGGTCCGCTCTATGGTCACACGTCCGTGTTCGCGTGTGCACGCAAGTTTCTCTTTGGTTTTTCGCGGTGTATCGCGTCGTTTCCTGTATCGATGCGTCGAGTTCCGCGTTCACGTGGAGGAGTTCATCGGAGACGAGCTTTGTTCGCCGCTTACACGCGCATGTGCAATAACGTGCATACGTTTGCACGCGTGTCAGTCGCGTTTTCTCTCTTTCTCCCTTTTTCTCTCCCTCGCGTTTCCTTCCCCTTCCTTTCAGGATTTTTCTACCGATTCGGCGGCGTATTTTTTTTCTTTTTTTTTACCTCTGGATTTTCCTCCACGACCGATCGCGATGCGTCCTCTCCGCGTGTTTCGTCAGCGCATAAAAGGTTATATACGAGCCGGTTGTCTTGCACACATCGCGCGGGGAACGCGCGTGTGGTCCAGGCGGGCGCGCGCTCACACCGCACGGAAAGAAAAGAGAAAAAATTCGAAGTCGAAGGCTCCGTGGCTCGTTATTCATCGACGTTCGGCTCCGGCTGTCAGGAGGCATTATTTACGGGTTTCGCGGCACAGCGAACTATTAATTCGGCCCGATGCAGGTGGTAAATGCGCGCCGACCATCCAACCCGCGTTCCTCACCGCGAAAATCCGTTTCGAGGTTCTGACTCGTTAAGAGGACGCTGTCCTATCGTAATAAAAAAAATCAAAGATTTTTGGCAATTATTCCTTATAGGGGAGTCAGTTGATCTTGACATATGTGTCGTAGAAATCGTCCTGAGTAATCTTTAGAAGGTTTAAGCCATAGCTCATTGTTTGTTAACCAGTTGCTTGTTAACAAAAGAGGTTTGTAAAATATGACACTTATTTTTAATATTGGTAGATATACAACGATTCCCATAAAATATATAAATTTGCTTAGTTAGATATATTACAAATTACAAAGCCAGATTGATCGACTATATAAAGATACAAATATTGTTTTTGAAATTTTCGCGGTTAGGTTAGCATTCGAATGATTTTGTTGAAGAATTTCGTCTATGAATCATCTAATTATTGAGTGTTTTATACGGCTGGTCAGATAGCCTGATTACCAAACAAGGTTAATTAGCATAAAGTGAGTTTGAATAACGTTGACCTTGGTGTATACCCACAGCAATGTCCTTCCTTGATGACCTTTAGAAGCTTTAGACGTCGATCATTCTTCGTCGAGAAATTATTAAAAAAAGAAATATAAGGAACACGAAGCTTATCCTTAGAGAACGTGAAACAATCGAAACAGGGTGTAGATTTTCTCTACTGGATAAAATACAGAACATGAACTGGAAAACATCGTTTTCCAAACTTACGTATTTTGTTAATACTTCACAATTTTTTCACAAATCATCCTGTTACAAATTATCATGTTTTACATGGTTACCAAAGTTATAATTCCGTTGGAAGATTCAATGGATGCTTGAAATCTGTTTCACGCAATTTAACTTCGAAAATCAAAATTAAAATCAACATACAAGTATCGAAAGAACGCAAAGAATTGGCGAAGGAGAAACAGAAACCAGTAGCCGACTGTCGACATAAGTCTGTTAATCAGACACAGTTCCCAAAAACAAATAGAGCGAAAGGACTTGAAAGAAATTATCGAGACAGCGGAGCTTCGAAACGAACGACACTGTCGGCTAATAAAAACGAAGTATTCGATTCTATTAAACGTCGACTCGAGGGGAGGAAAGTCCTGTACGTGGCGCTTTGGAATATCTCGGGAAAAAGAACGCGTCGACAGACAGTTTCTCCGCTCGTCCCCTCGATTGATTACTGTGCAAGCCGTGGATGGGTAGGAGAGTGGAGCGATTTTCGCAGGAAGTATCGGCCGGAAGGCGGGATACGCTTTGAAATGCGAAAGACGTATTCCACGACCATCGTGGGAGGAAAGGAGAACGATATTTCCTATTTCTCTCTTTCTATCTTTCTCCTCTCTCTTTCTCTTGCTCTCTTCTCTCTTTCTATCGAGGCGGCAGCTCTCACGGAGTAACGTTGATCTAATAACGGGACAAACGTCGCGCGAATCGCATCCCGGACGGGATTTCATTTCCTCTGCCGTAGGATGAGCGGCCGTGA